TAGGATAAATTAGTAATTCAATTAATATTAGGGTTCATTTAGCAGCTCTCTTTAAAAAAATACGTACACTGTTTTACTAGGTACATTATTAGAGGGAAAAAAATAGGTGCATTATTTGGAGAGAGAAAATAGGTTCATTTAAAAAAATTGTTTTTCATAAAACTAATAATAGGCACTTTATTCAAAGAAAAAAGGGTACATTATTTTGAGAAAAAAATAGGAAATTATTTAGAGAAAAATAGGTTCATTTAAAAAAAAATGTTTTTCTTAAAATAAATAGTTTCATTTTAAAAAAAAAATGTTTTTCAAAAAACAAACAATAAATAGATTATCAAATTATTTTTCAACATAATTAGAATGTACACTATTATTCATAAAACTATAATAAAATAGATTACTAGTAGTATAATTCATAAAACAAAAACAACAACAAAAAATTATTAAATCAACCAAAACGTTTTTTTTTTGGGTCATAAAACAAACCAAAACATTACTAATACTTTAATGTTGAATTTAATATTTAATTTCAAATAAGTTTCTAAATTAATTCCTACATCCATTACATCCATTTGAAGATCTTTTCAAATTCAACGTGTGTCATTAGTTACACCCCACATAACACGTTAACTTGTAAATAGGGGTAGTTTTGGAATCCGAAAAATAGAATAAATCAGATTTTAAGCTAGATTAGGTAACTTGCTTACTTGGATCCTAGTCATCGAGTTTTATTTGAAAAAATTGGATATTTTAAATAGAAAAATAAAGGAAAGGGTTGTAGGTGATTAAAAATGAATTTTATGGGTCTAAGCTCAATTTACTATTAAAAGAATCCAGTGGATTTAATAAGAATGTAATGACTTATAGGATTTTATTGATTGATTTGTATAATCAGGATTTTTAACTTTTGGATTTTAAAAGATTATATCATACGATTTTATAAGATCTGAAATCACCACATGGATTTATATCATAGAATTTATATCTAAACCTGCAAGGGCGGAGCCAGGAATTTTTCAGCGGGTGGGCTAGCTAAAGTTATTAGCTTAAAATTTAATGATTATTTTTTTTGGTACTTACAATTTCTATAGTCTTTCTAGAAATAAAAGTAAATATTAAATCATATAAACCATGCTAATTTATAGCTCCATAGACTAATTTTCAATAAGTTTTAACATAAATCAAATAGGGTTTAACACCATAGTGTATTGAACATCTAAGGCTTTTTACCTAGATTGACCTTAGGTTCCTTCATGCATTCATATCATACATGAAAAATTGTTTTATGTAAAAATATTGACTAAGTATGAAAAATGGGTTTTCGGAATAATCATTTTCTCAAGATAATTTTTGGCGGCTTTTATTCCTCACACATCAAATAAGAAAACTTGATTTTATGAGATTTTAGTATGAAGTATATATTGACTTAATGAGCCATCATTTTTAGCCTAAATCGTATTTTGCACTAAAATCAATTTTTCATAATTTGATTTGGTTGGAATTTGATTTTCTAGTATTTTTATTTGAATCCAAATGGGGGGTACTTCCTTATTTACATTGTAAACTTAAGTAAATGGAGTAATATAAAAATAAATAAAAGTAAAATGACAAAGACATAAAAGTAAAATGACAAAGACATTTACACCGCCACTAACTAGGCTAATATTGAAAATAAGTTAAATATATAGGTTTTATATTTTTTTTCTTAGAAAACCACACTAGGCTACAGCCCACTGTAGCCCTTGGTGTGGTTCCGCCCTTGTAAGCCTGACTAAATAGGTCTATAGCCTAGGCCAAATTTTGAAAGTTTTTGAATACCTAGCCCAAATCCAGAGTTGTTATGCATAAGCGTAGACATCTTGTTATATTGCTTCATAAACCACTTCATTCAGCTCAAGTAATGAATATAAGTTTTTGGAAACCTAATTTTCGCATTAAGACAAGGAAGTATCACTCTTTCTACATTTTGCTTGCTAAGTGACTCATTAGCATCACACAATCCACTATTGATAGCATCCACCAAGAGGCTCAACAACTCATTGGTATCGTCCATTGTCCAAGATTCATAGTTCTCATAAACTTTGCCCTTTCCTTTGTTAACGTTATTTCCTTGTTGTGAATCCCACATTTAAATTACTACTACAACACATGTAAGAAACAAAAGAAAATTGAAATCAATTGGAACGAAAATTGAAAGGTCGGCTCTGCATAACTTCCAGCGAGTAATAAAACTCCTCTAATTGAAAATATCGACAAGCAATTGACATGACATCAATATATAAGTACAAGGGAACGTTATCATCATAAACTACGAACAAGATAGAAGATTCACAGTGAAGGAAGAAGAAATTACCTTGTTCGTATAGATCTCACGGCTGCATGTCTGTTCATCTTCTTCATCGGAAAAAAGAAAAATTCTCACATGACAAAGTCTAATGGGTTAGTGTGGGATTTGAGATAGGATTTGGTATTTATACATCCAACTAAAAAGTCTCACACAATTCCATATTTTAAAAAATCCTTTGAAATTAGCAAGTTTTTTAATACCATAAGACTTTTTGTTACTTGTTTAAAGTCTTAATTGAATGCAGAGATTTGGACACTTTCTTTTTAAAATCCTAATAGTCTTTTTAAATTGCCAAGCCAACAGCAGGACCCTATGAGCAAAACCCAATTTTTATTCAATTAGAAAGAAACCCTTTTGTTACAAACTGATTGTCATTCAAGTAATCAAGTTTTCTCATTTTAAAAAAATGATTTATTACATTTTATTTTCATTTTCCATATTTTCCCAGCAAGCAAACAGGACACAAAACAAACATGACGGGAGAAACAGCGAAACAGAGAAATGAAAATTTGGGGTCAAAATTACGTTTACCTGATTGAGGATAGTCTTTTCCTTCAGCCAATCTGAGAATCAATCGCACGGCCGGAACATATAGCGTTGCAAAAAACTATTTGTTTCCTTCAAGGACTTCTAATATTATGTTATTAGATTACCATGATCTCCGTAGGCATAATTTTTTTTAATTTTTGAAAATAATAAATAAAAATTGACCAATAGTGTATATATCAAATTTGGACATACGAGTAAAAACTCTAAGGATTAATAAAATCTTGAGTATTCAATAATTGCTCAAGGATTGAGGCATAACTCACATAGTCATCTTACATATTTACACTAAGAAATACTAACGTGGTTAGTGGGGTATAACTCAGTTTGTTGAGCTTTTCCATCATCCATGTGCTCTTCCACCTCTCAATGAATATTTATGTAAACCTCATTCCCTCAATCGCTTGTACTTAAAAAAAAAATTATAACGTGTACTAATTGAGTAAGTCCTCAAATGTTCCAAGCATCAACAAGTTTTAATGATCTCATATCTCATTCCTAAATTAGGTATGCTAAATAAAATACTTAAAACACTTTGCTTTGCCTAAAAATTCTATCCTAATAATTCTATCAATTTCCAATTCTTTTTCTTTGAATGCCCATTTCTTATAAGACTTTTTTTTTTCTGGGTAAATTAGGAGGGTAAATCAAGAAACAAACTCACACAACAAAAAGAAGCAAGAAAAATAATAAAATAAGCTGCTATATTTGATATATTTTCTTTCTGAATTACAATACTTGCATCTATATAAACTAATAAAAGAATTGCATAATAGTCAAAAACAAAATATAATCCGAGATACATATATGAATTGAAATGTTCAAGAGAGACGAAGCCCCTTTGGCCTTGGTGGCACTTTGAAGCCAGAGTTGATGTCTCTGCAGTTGTAAATAGGAGTGATCAAAGAATCAACCACTTTACTCTTGCAAACAAGGCACTCCCTTTGAGCGCTGTAGATATTCAACCAACTGTACAAACAAGGCCAGCAATATAAATGCCCACATGAAGTCACAACTGGCTCTCTTGCCACTTTCATGCACATGTTGCAGTCAAAGTACAATACAGATCTTGGTGGGGACAATGGCACTGCCAAATAGCCTTCATCATAATCACCATCTAGATGAAGGGTTGGATCTTTATCATCATCTTGATGAACGGTTGGATCTGAACCATCCAGAGACAGAGTATAATAATGATCGCTTGTGAAGTTTTCAAACTCATGTTGATCAATTTCATCTTGCACAAGCAGTGAGAAAACACTATCATCATCATCCTCATCATCATCGTCGTCGTTGTCGTCATCATCATTATCATCCTCATCATAACCATCATCATAATCCTCATCACCATCAACATCACCATCACCATCATTATGATAATAACAATAACCAACCTCCTCCTCCTCCTCCTCCTCCTCCTCCTCATCATAATCATGATTATCCATATGTTCGTACCATTCGTGTGCTGGTTTTGTGCCGTGGAAAATCTCGTGGGGCAACATAAAACGCATCGGTGGCTTAAGAGGTACTCTAATTTCGTTGCTGGAAGCGGAAGCCATGCCCATGAATATAGAAACAAAGGAAAGCAAAAAATTGAACACTAATTAAGAACGCTTAGAAGAACAAACTCAACAACAAGAGAAATAGTAGCTATAACAATTGGGGTTTCTATTCTAAAGAGACCTATATACATATAGGGGAGAGACTTCAGAATTTAAACCAAATACGATTAAGATTAGGACTAGGACTGGGATTTCTTGGTTCACAAGTTTCCAAATCCAACTGACAAGTGACAATATATATATATATATATATAAACGTGTATAAAACAGAATAATTGAAACCTAATCCTACTAGGATTAGTAGTTGGACTGAGTTGATAAGTTTCCAAATAATCCAACTTGATGAGTGACAACTTCAATTTTTATTTGTATTTAGAAAAAATTTACATCCTAATTAGTGTAGGAAAACAATCCCTGTACAATTAGGACATTATTGCTTTCTATAAATACCTCCTTTGAAGATTAATACAACATACAGAAGTTCCTATATTTTCATATTTTAGCATCTTGACCATAAACACTCAAGACAGAAAATTGTTGAAGAAAGAATGGGGAAGAGAAAGTCGTCGTCGAGGGCAAAGCTTGTAGCTAAGAAGCCAAAGGAGAAGCTTGATACAGTATTCTGTTGCCCCTTCTGCAACCACGGGAGCAGCATTGAATGCGACATTGACATGAAGAACATGATTGGGGAGGCTTTCTGCAGCGTTTGCCAAGAGAGTTATAGCACAACCATCACAGCTTTGACTGAACCCATAGACGTCTACAGTGAATGGATAGACGAATGTGAGCGGGTCAACATCATTGTTGCTGATGATCGAGCTTAGGAAGCAGATAGGGGTTTTTATAATATGATTTCATAATTGTTGATGCCATTATAAAATTATAATTTTATTTTGGTCCACAAGTTTCCAAATCCAACAAGTGACAACCTTCATTTCTTAAAAATAAAAAAAAGAAACCTAGGTATATATTGGTCCGATTTGGGCTAATTAAGATAGAGTTGGATTTGGGCCTTTGACAAGTGAAAAATAGCAGGCTCTTTTGAAGTTTTACTCTACTTAATCACACTGCAAGCAAGGTGACCCCATCATCAAGAACTAGTAGAAGAAAAGGGAAAGTTAAAGTTGCTTTTGGTTTTTTTCACAAGTGCTTTTAACTTTGAATTCTAAATGTAGTGGGGTTTAGCTGATATATAAAAAGAGTAGTGTGTGAGAAAAACCTTAACGACCAGCTTTCCATCATACTTGTCAAAAGGGGTAAATAATGCTTGATATTCTAATGACCATGTTTCACGAAAGAACAAAAACGAATATTTGAACACTAGCTAATTTGGGCTACTAAATTATTATTATTATATGATAATTTTTACAGTCTTTCTTCTATGAAAAAGTTGTAGTAAAATAAGATCGAGCTGGTCACCACCACTCGAATCTACAAGAAATTATATCTACCATTATATATAGTGCTTTTTTGAAAAGATCCCTCAAAAGTCTAGGTCTATCATAAATGTTGCCATATACAACAACCAGTGTTTCTAGAGGGCTTTCTTAACAGATATATATAATTAAATTACACACGAAGTTTACACGCAATGAAATACATGGCATGGTAACGTGTGTGTTGGGGTTATGGCTAGGTTAGGAAAATTGAGTAATTGTAAAAATAAACTAGAAAACATTGTCGATCAAAAAAGACGACATATTCTTAATACCAAACCCTAGCCTCCTCTTTCCCAAAATACCTTCCAAGAACTGATATTCTTCCTCCCCTCTCCTCTCTCCTCTCTTCTTTTTCTCCCTCTATTCTTCCCTCATTTTCAGAGACAAAAGGTTTTCCCTATTTGTTTTCGTTTTGTTATGATTTTCCTTCAATCATCACCGGAGGATGAGTCTCGGCATCGGATCTCTACCTGCGTTTCGACGATCTCCACCACTATCCTTTTTGCGGTTTCTTTATATTTGGAATAAGTCACATAAACTCTTTGGGTTCTCTATGTAATTTTCACCTCTCCTTTTGTGAGAGATTTTCACCTCTCCTTTGTGAGAGCTTTTTATTTCTCTTTTATGAGAGCTTTTTATTTATCTTTTGTGAGAGGCTTTTTTTCTCTCATTAGTGAGAGTTTTATATGTATTGTTATGGCTTGGTTTTTTCAAACTTCTCTTTTTGATTATTCTGAGTTTGCAATCTTAGTTGGGATGCCTCTGCCAGAGTTTCTTTGATCCTACTTGATCATTAGTGGATGCGCACCATATTGTTTTAATTTTGATGTTAGATACTCTGTTATTGTATTGGCCCTTTGTGGCTATTGGCTTTTTTGGTTGAAGACGAACACATTTTTTCGTCGCACAAGCCAAAATCCGTCGCGCAAAATCGACATGCTTGGCGCGCAAAGACGTGCCGACATCACACCTTTGCGCGACTACAAAATCGTTTCGTCGCACATGATGTTAGTCGCGCAATAGAGAATTTCCGTCGCGCAAAGGTCCAGTTTGACATGCACGCAGCCACGATAGCCTCTTTGCGCGACTAATTTTCTTTTCGTCGCGCAAAGTTGTGGCGCGAAACACCTGGAACACTGTTTGTTTTCCCGCTATTTATTGTGCGCGACGTATGAATTTTTTGGTCGCGCTAAACATCATAGGGCGACGAATACATCATCGTCGCGCAACATCATAGGGCGACGAATATATCGTCGTCGCGCAAATAGTTGTCGCGCAAACGTGTTCATTTAAAACATTTGAATATTTTGTCCCATTTCTAGATCTCTGAATATTTGTTATTTGCGATTTTTGGGGTATACAATCTCACAGTATATACAAACACGTTTAACGGTTGGATCGTTGAAATTAGTTTTGTAGAGTTGAATGAACACTTTTTAGTTTCAAAACATATTTCGCGCTGTTCTATTCGTACGGAAATTGATAACCCTGAAATTTATTCGTATGGAGGTTGATAACCATACAAAAAGATTCTCCTCTACCATTCCCATAATTAAAAGGGTATGAATGATGATCTTCACTAAAATTAATGAAAAACATATGATTTAGATGGCAAAATTAAAATTAAGGCTAAAGATTAATGGTTTGTATATCGTACCTTGCGCGACGGAGAGTGTTTTGTCGCGCAAAGATTTCATATGCGACGAGTTTAGTCGTCGCACAAGAATTAGGAGCCAGAATATTTGTTCGCGGTTTTTTCCCCTTGTTTTACGCGACGGTCGTTTTTTCTGTCGCGCGAAGTTGTTTTGCGCGATGAAATTTATTGGTCGCTCTACTTTGCGCTACGCATATGATTGTCCGTCGCGCGATGATCTTTTATGCGACGATTTGTCCTTCGTCGCGCAAACTATCGTCGCGCAAATAGAAAAACGTAGTAGTGATAGGTAAGTTCAACGAATCCAACTGTCTTTGAATTATTCCGAATTGAAAATTATAAAGATAAATTAACAAAATTAAAGCTATGGGAATCAAAGTTGTAAAAACGACATACACTGACCAAAAATAACTTGTTGCATATCAATTTTACTTTCTACATTTTCCTTTTGGGCAAGCACAGCTGCACAGCACGTATAGCAGAACACACACCATTAATTTGTACGCATCTGACGCAAATTACATAGAATATACCACAATGAGTCCTTTTCCCCATTCATTGTCTTGTATCAACTGATTACCCAATTTCATTGGCCGGTTTGTTAGGGTCTAAGTAGAAAGACCGCCTTGTTTCTTTAATCAATACTATATATATACGCGTGGCCAAAGAACCATGATCATGTCATGAGAGACCAACTTCAACAACAAAACTTAAGAGCCCGTTTGGTATCCTACTTGAATCTAATTTTATAAATTCAAAAACTGAATTGTCCCAAAAAGCTGTTTAATAGGCCCATTCTTAAAAAATCAAATCCAAAATAATTTCAAAAACACCACTATTATTAAACAAAAAAAGTGAGATTCTATGAGAGAAAATTCCAAATAAAATTCCATCATTATCAAAGACAAGACAGCAATCCCAAAGAAGTTTGATGTGGCAAATTTAGATTGGACCTTCAATGGGAGACAAAGAAACACAGCCAATGAAAATAGGTGCCTGGCTAACTAAGGACTTAACACAACATGTACACTTTTATCAGCAAAATATATAAGATTTGATTTGATAGATAGAATGGAAATCCAATATGGAATTGTAGAGAACCGAGGAGTATGAGAGAAAACAAAAGGCTCTAAATTCACCTCTCTCTCTCTCTCTCTCTCTCATCGCTCTCTCTCTCTCCTCCCTCTATCGTCACTCTCTCTCTCTCTTGGTCGTTTTTTCTTCTCTAGAGCACTCCCATTTAATATTGTAAATGATCCATTCTGGCTACCTATGGTGGAAGGGATTGCCGGATATGATGTAGGATTTAAGCTTCAATCAATATATGAGCTGAGGACTTAGATCCTTAAGGAAGAAGTTGGCGACATTAATACGATGATGGAAGAACATAAGAAAGCTTGGGCAGAGTATGAATGTACTATTATGTTGATGGTTGGACTGATGATAAAAGTAAAGTGCTAATAAATTTTCTTGTGAATAGCCCTGCAGGTACTTGGTTTTTGAAATCTATTGATGCATCTGATTCCATAAAAAAATGGAACGCTACTATTCAAATATTTAGATGATGTTGTCAAAGAAGTTGGGGAGGAGCATGTGATTCAAGTAATAACAGATAATACTTCCAATTATAAGAATGCTGGAGTGAAACTTATGGAGAAGAGGAAGAAGTTATGATGGACTCCATGTGCTGCCCTTTGCATTGATTTGATGTTAGAAGATATTAGCAAAATGAAAGTTTTTGAAGATACAATTAGACTAGCCAAGCAAGTAGTGAAGTTTATTTATGGGCATACATGGGTTCTTGCTTTGATGAGATTTTTCACGAAAGACAAAGAGATAATTCGCCCTACAATCACACGGTTTGCCACTTCTTATCTTACTCTTCAAAGCATCTATAAGCAAAAGCAACCTCTTCAAGCTATGTTTTCTTCTAGAGAATGGCACAATGGACCATTTGTCCAACATAATGAAGGTGTTAGGGCTCACTCAACTATACTTTATGATGTTAATTTTTGGTCCCATGTTACTTTTTGCATCAAAACTGTTATTCCTTTAGTATCTGTTTTGAGAGAAGTTGATTCAGAGGAGAGACCCGTCATGAGATTTATTTATGAGTTAATGGATGTTGCAAAAGAGAAGATTGCTTTTAATTGTGGAAACGTTGAAAGAAAGTATAAACCAATTTGGAGAAGAATAGACGAAAGATGGGGCCCACAACTTGATCAACGTTTACATGCTGCTGGTTATTATTTGAACCCTCAATTGCATTATGAAGAAACGTTTTCTAATGTTGATGAAGTGAGGAAGGGATTGGAAGATTGCATGACTAGGATGTTGTCTTTTGAGGATTGTATGGCTGCTGATATCCAGTTGCTTTGTATGGCTACTTATAAGTATGGAAAGTAAATCATATGGGGGGAAATTTCATTACCATTAAATTTTATAATTTTAATTCATTGTTCATATGTACAGGTAAGAGGAAAGTCAAAAGTAAGTCCATAAGGACTATGCTTATGGATGAAGATGATGAGATAGATAAAGATCCTTCAACATTTGATAATGGGAAATATCCTTTTCAGATTGATACAGTTGATCAATATGATAGTGATGCTAGTTTAAATGATAATCGTGTTGAGGAGTGGGATGAGTGAATTATGTTTTTGTTTTGATGTTGAATAAATATTTTATATTTTGGGATTGATTATTATGCTTTGAATGACAATTAGTATTTATATTTTATTATATTTAAAAGATTGTTATGGTTCAATAAGAATTTGTTGTACATTTTAATTGTATTGTATTATTTATACATTTTTCTGAGTCATTCCGTCAAATGCGCTATTAAATGATGATGTGGCAATCAATGGCCCACATGAACTGAAAAAAAAAATGGAAAAAGAAAAAAGAAACAAAAAAAATTGTCCCAGCACTAGCCATCTCCCGCTCCAAGCCACAATGCACAATCCACCATCTCCATGTCGAAATCTCCCTCCGTCCCGTTGCTCTTCTTGGACCTGCAACAGCCCATCCCACCCACCCACCCTCTGCCGCACCATTGCCTAGCCCCCCTAAAAACATTTTGCAGCACAGCACACCTATCCCTCCCCTAAATAAAAAAATAAAAAAAACAAACTGTGACCATCACCAGACCCATACCTGCAACCCATGACCGCCTCAAGCACAAAATCAAACCTAACCCAAATTTGTTAAACCTCTTTCTAATAGCATGGTCTGGTGTGCTGGTTTGGGAATCTTCCCTTCAAATATAGTGATTTCATTTTGAGATGAGACATTAGTTTGAGGTATAAATTTGTTGGGTTATGTCTGCAATTGAAGTTCATATTGTGATTTTCATACTGATTCTTGCTTGGAATGGACTTTGCTTGTGTCAGTACGTTTAATCCTCCACCATATCTCAACGCAAGTTGGCCATGAATTCAAGTTCCAACTCCATATGAAACAAACCCATATCTGGGTTTTCGGCAGACTTTTGAGATTATAAGAGAGAGGGGGTAGGACTGCTTTCATGGTTCATTTCCTCTGTTATGAATCTTTGAATCTGAGCTGCTGGGTGTGTTTAGTTTAATCATTTTGTATTTGACTAGATTTCATTGATTGAAAAGGGAAATTCCAAAGTTGTTGAAGATACTGCTGGAGATACTCTAAGGTAAGCCATCAAGTAATTAATGAAAAAAAGGCAAAGTTACTTTCGGCTTTTCACAAGTGCTTTTAGCTTAGTGGGGTTATCTGATAAAAAAATTATAATATCTAGTGTGAGAAAAACCTTAACCACCAGCCTGGCCATCATATTCTGGAGAAAGATAGCGATTAAATTATAAAGCCAGTGCAATTGGGGTCAAAAACTAATTAACCCGTCAAAAGGGGTAAATTATTAGTCTTTCTTCTTTGGACAAGTTATGGTAAAATAAGATGGCGCTGGTCACCAATCGAATCTAGAAGATCCCTTCCACCGCTTCAAAAGTCTAGGTCTACACAATGAAATAACAAAGAATCTACATCAGTTAATAGAAAAACTGAGTAAGTGGTTAGAAATAAACTTGAAATGCACGTTGACTTTGTGGAGTCGAAAAAGGCTTATGTCAATATATATAAAGTTGATGATGATAGGAAATATGGGCTTAGCCAAATTGGTTAGAATGGATGTGCTCCCTACTATACACCCGAGTTCGAATTCCTTTCCTCGTAGTTTAGATTAATTTAAAATAGATTATTGCTTATATAAAATAAATAAAAACAACAATTTATGATATGTTCAATTTGATTTCATGTATATCTAGTGGAAAGAAAAGTAAATACGTAGAAGGATCATCCAACAAAAGCTCATACTTTCAATAATTACTCATTTTCATATCATAGAAACACATGGTGTTATTATTTGTCTTTAATCATTCATGGTAAGTCTCTCTCTCCCTCATTCATATGGGATCAAGTTCATAGAACACAATGATGTATCTGTTTTAATTTTATTGAGAACAGAAAAGGTTTTCTTTCTTTCTTTTTTGGATGTGGTGTTATAGGCTTTTAGCTCTTTAGATGGGTTTTAATCCAAATAAAATATATTCTCCCGTGATGAGTTTAATTTGGAAAACACTTTGCAAAATGGTGGTGTTTTTTTAAACCTCAATTGCAGTGTGGATTTTGAATGTCGTTTGGGATTGCTTCTCTAGGAAGCACTTCTATTCACAAGTGCTTCTACTAAAAGTGTTTTAATTATCAAAACGTTTAAATTTTCTTAAGAAACCAAGTGCTTTTTGGAAAAATATTTGGGAGTGCTTCTATAAAGTGCTTTTATGACCCAGAAACACTATTAGAAACGCTTTTGGTTGTCATAAAAATATTTTAGCCATTGAAGAAGCACTCCCAAACAGGTGTGCCATATACTAGCCCCTTATGTAAATAATCATCAATTATACTTCCTTTCCTCTCCAACTTTGGGCAAGCACAAGAGCACATAACAACATAACACACTTCATTAATCTTGCACGTATCTGCCTTAAATGACATAAGAACATATATGTTGCCAAAATGAGTCCTTTTCCAAACTTGTAAAGCGTTGCTCACTAGTTAAAAATTCTTGAATCTTGCTATAGTAGTGTGAGGTTTTGTTCTAGATGCCCTAATATTCATAAATAAAAAAATAGTCAACCAGTTAGGCAATGCACGTTTATTTATTTATTTATTTAAGTTTTTCCTCGAAGTAGAAAGACTGCCCTTGTTTCATTATTTTATTTTATTTTAAGAAGGCCCCCTATAGCTGCTAGCTAGCTAGCCAGCTATTTATAAAGCTCAGTGGCAAGCTTACTTGCAACTCTATACATGGAGATGGAGAGCAGAGAGCAGCGCCACCCAGTCTACCCAACTGGCTTTGCGGTTGGGAGAGCTAGCAACAAAGTCTTGAAATGGGCTCAAATAGAGAGAACAAAAACAAAAAATAAAAGGTGCGTGAATGTTCTCATAATTCTCTTCTTTGTATTTTTTATGCGTCTGCTTGCTAGCTGTTTTGTTATACGTACTATATAATCTGCTTGCTTACAATTCTTCCCAGCTTAACTGAACAATGGTGGATCATATTTGGTTAATTTTACCTGTAACTGCACGTAAATTCATTTATGATAGTGGCATATACTGTAAATTCCTTAAAATTTTTGAACATACTAGTTGCTTACTTGGTGAAAGTGGATAGCAATTGAAAAGGGTGAGCATGTAGACTACATCCATTACATCTTGATAAAAATGGACCTACATCTAAGAAGCCCTTAATTAAACCCCTAAGTCATCTCCAATCATAGGGTTAAATGTAGTCAAGGGCTAAAAATTTAGCCCTCCAAAATATTAATTTTTTAAAGAATAGTGCAGTGCTAAATTTTTCCATCTCTAACCATGCATGGCTATATTTTAGGGCCCTTCATATTTTATTATTTTGAGAAAAACTGTGGTACAACACTCATATGTTCCACAACTATGTATTGTTTAATTTAATTAAATTACAATTTAGAGAAAATCATTTTTAATTTATATATATTTTTTAAATAAAATGAATTTAAAACATTTAAAAGGGTTTTAAATAAATAAATAAAAAATAACTTTTCAATCAATGGTTCTGACATCCAACGATCAGAAACCAATTATATATATATAAAAAAGAAAACAAATTTAAAAACATTTAAAAAGATTATTAAAAATGAAAATAAAAACTAAATGGCTAGTTGACGTCATCGATGATGTCAACGGGCCTTTAATATTGGCTATTGGATCTGCAGTTGCACGAGATGTTTCGTGCTCTTGCTCATGCGTGATACTTTCTCCTCTTAGAAAGCACATGCTCTGGGCTCACAAAAAAATTTGGCCTAGGCCAAAGCTATGCTACATTTGGCCTAGTTTGAGGGCTAAAAGGGCAAATGTGGCCCTCCAAATTTGGCCAAAAAATATTTAGCCAATGACTGAAGATGGGTTTTGCATTATTTTAGGCCAATATTTGGCCTATGGCCCATGACTGGAGATGGCCTAATATAGCTTAAGATTTTTGGCTATATATATGGTTGGTTGTCTAACTTAGTAGCCATGCAACATATAATCATATTGTGTAGGTTAACGCAAGGATTCATTTCCTCAATGCCATGGCATACCATCTTTGCATTTCTGAATCCACTGCTAATCGGCATCCTTCAAGTGAAATGTCAAGGCGCAACCAAGTCTCCATTCGACACACACCAAGGAGTCATGTGGATATTTTTGTTGGCAACGTTAGTCTACTGCTTTGCATTTGCAGCTAACATGAAATCACGCTGTAATTGCTCTACAGTCTACTATCGAATCTCCGGCCATTTTGCTCTTCTCAGTGGATCTCTTTCTTCATTCTCGTTGTTCTCCATCTTTCTTCCAAGGTTTCCTAATGAGCAGCTTGTTTTCTTCTTGTTGATCATCATGCCTTTGATTGTTGCAAGAAAGTGGATCTGTAGAGTTTGCCAAAAGCTTTGCAAATCGACTTTGAAGGCAACCCACTTATTAGTTCACTGCATTTGTCGTGGATTCTTCAGAAGAAACTTGATGGAGCAGCCACAATTGCCGGTATAGCCCTAGCCTTTCCCTTCTTCGATGGGGTGGGTGGGAACATATCTGCCAATAAGCTCTGTGCGTGTAAAATGGTTTAGAGTTAACTTTGTTAAATTAATCTTAAGGGTAACTACTGTTTAGAAACATTCTATAGTTTCATGTGAAATATATACAGTCTAAATTAATCTTATTTTCATATATACCATCTTCTTTTTTTCTTTTTATACATACTAGAAGTGGAGCGATTTTGTGGGATGTATCTGGTGTATATGCCGTTTGCATTCAATTACATATGTTATAAATAATACATATAATGACATAAATACATATCTTACGTTATTTATGTTTTAGGGGCAAAATCACAAAATAATTTTAAAATGAAAAATAAGAAAAACATCAAAAAATATAAATATAAATGAATGTAACACAAAAGTCAAATGACTTAGATCAACAACACAAATGTGCGGACCTTGTTTTTAGTTTTGGATTTATCTCAAATTTTCTATAAATATGTAGAAAGAAGAAAGAGCGAGGTCATGAGAAAAAGAAAATGAGTAATAAGTGAGTAATAAGTATATGTACGTAATAACTTATATTGACCTTAGTCCTAAAACAAAGTAGTACGGCGACAGAGCAAGAGGCTTTGAATACCAATTGATGTAGTACAGCCCGTAGGTATTAGATTGAGCACTAAAACAATAGAACAGAGAAGAATATACAAGATCGATGAGAAGAAAATATAGATCAAAAGGACGAAAGAAAGAGCAAAACAATAGAACAAGAAGAATATTAGAGATCGAGGAGAGTAAATATAGATCGAAAGGACAAAAAAAAGACATAAATCAGAGAGTTCTAGAAAAGGTTTACTTAACATTCAAATTTGAATATTAAAGAACTACATGGGGGTATTTAAAGCAAACTAAAACCTAGACATAATAGGATAAAAATCTCTTGCTTAAACAGAAATCCTAACCCAAATAAAATAGGAAACTTAAAACTAGAAATATGGAAATATGGAAAAGTAGAAATCCTACTAGAAATTGGAAAACTAGAGAATCTAGGAAACTAACAAATACATTATGAAACTAATAAATTTAGGTCCTACACGTCCTGCATCACCAATATATCTATCAATTTTCGAAGGTCATGTGCATTAGGACAAGCCTAAGAATCCCTTATGGATCAATATATAATTTGCAAGCAGATGCTGGGGTTTATTCAATTGAGATTTTAAAAAACTATTTAGAGATTAAAAAAATTCAGCGAATTTAATCAGAATGTAATGACTTATAGGATTTTATTGATGGATTTGTATAATTAGAATTTTTAACTTTTGGATTTTAAAAGATTATATCATAAGATTTTATAAGATTTGAAAGCACCACATGGATTTATATCATAGAATTTATATATGAGCCAAACTAAATAGGTCTATAGCCCAAACCAAAATTTGAAAGTTTTTGAAATACCTAGCCCAAACCCAGAGTTGTTATGCATAAGCGTAGACATCTTGTTATATTGCTTCATAAACCACTTCATTCGGCTCAAGTAATGATTATAAGTTTTTGGAAACTTAATTTTCGCATTAAGACGAGGAAGTATCACTCTTTCTACATTTTGCTTGCTAGGTGACTTATTAGCATCACGCAATCCACTATTGATAGCATCCACCAAAAGGTGAAACAACTCATTGGTATCGTCCATTGTCCAAGATTCATAGTTCTTAGAAACTTTGCCCTTTCCCTTGTTATTTCCTTGTTGTGAATCCCCCATTTAAATTACTACTACAACACATGAAAGAAACAAAAGAAAATTGAAATCAATTGAAAAGAAAATTGAAATCAATTGAAAAGAAAATTGAAAGGTCGGCTCTGCATAACTTCCAGGAAGTAATAAAACCTCTAATTGAAAATATCGACAAGTAATTGACATGACATCAATATATAAGCACAAGGGAACGATATCATCATAAACTACGAACAAGATAGAAGATTCACAGTGAAGGAAGAAGAAATTACCTTGTTCGTATCATCATATTGACTTTCGACATGAAGGTTCTTCAAACAGCTCAGAGGGGTAGTTATATCACAACTTGCAAAATTCATCTCACCAAATCTTCTCAATTTAGGGATGCAAGATTTACAACAGTGAACTGGTTTTCACTATTCCGGGCATCGAAATTCCCCTTCTAACATGGCGAGAACACCCAACCAAAGTGACTAAACTGGATATTTTGTAACACCATCCAGACCCAACTTGTTCATACTAAGTTACCAACAATCATCAAGCACCACTCTTTTTTTCGGGGGTTAAATTTAGATCAAACTTTTACCCTCTGGCCTGGTTCATTAGAGAGCAACAAAATCTCATACAACTCAGGAACTTAACACTCCCACAAGAAGGTGTACTCAGATTTAAATTGCCAAGCCAACAGCAGGACCCTATGAGCAAAACCCAATTTTTATTCAAAGATGCAATCTTTCACAGAACCATTCAATTAGAAAGAAACACTTTTGTTACAAACTGATTGTCATTCAAGTACTCAAGTTTTCTCTTTAAAAAAATTGATTTATTACATTTTATTTTCATTTCCCACATTTTCCCAGCAAGCAAACAGAACACAGAACAAACATGACGGGAGAAACAGCGAAACAGAGAAATGAAAACTAGGGGCCAAAATTACGTTTACCTGATTGAGGAGGATAGTCCTTTTCCTTCACCCAATCTGAGAATCAATCGCACGGTCTACGACGTCTTCGGAACATATAGCGTTGCAAAAAACTATTTGCTTCCTTCCTTTCCCAATTTTTTTTTTTTTCCGATTTTGATTATGACCATTTTCAAGGACTTCTAATATCATGTTAGATTACCATGGTCTCCATAGGCATAATTTTTTTGTTGAAAATAATATATAAAAATTGACCAATAGTGTAAATCAAACTTGGACTTACTGTAAAAACTCCAAGGATTAATAAGATCTTGAGTATTCAATAATTGTTCAAGGATTGAGGCATAACTCACATAGTCATCTTACATATTTACACTAAGAAATACTAACGTGGTTAGTGGGGTATAACTCAGTTGGTTAAGCTTTTCCACCTTCATCCATGTGAGCTCTTCCACCTCTCAATGAATATTTATGTAAACCTCCTTCCCTCCACCACTTGTATTGAAAAAAACGTACTAATTGACAAATACATAAGTCCTCAAATGTTCCAAGCATCAACAAGTTTTAATGATCTCATATCCTAAATTAGGTATGCTAAATAAAATACTTAAAACACTTTGCTTTGCCTAATAATTCTATCAATTGTCCAACCTTTTTCTTTGAATGCCCATTTCTTATAAGACTTTTTTTTTTCTGGGTAAATTAGGAGACTAATCTATAAGAGGGTAAATCAAGAAACAAACACACACAACAAAAAGAAGCAAGAAATAAAATAAAAAGAACTAAATTTGATATAGTTTCTTTCTGAATTACAATATTTGCATCTATATAAACTAATAAAAGAATTGCATAATAATCAAAAACAAAATATAATCCGAGATACATATGAATTGAAATGTTCAAGAGAGACGAAGCCCCTTTGGTTCTGGTCTTGGTGGCACTTTGAAGCCAGAGTTGATGTCTCTGCAGTTGTAAATAGGAGTGATCAAAGAATCAAACACTTTACTCTTGCAAACAAGGCACTCCCTTTGAGCGCTGTAGATATTCAACCAACTGTACAAACAAGGCCAGCAATATAAATGCCCACATGAAGTCACAACTGGCTCTCTTGCCACTTTCATGCACATGTTGCAGTCAAAGTATAATACAGATCTTGGTGGGGACAATGGCACTGTCAAATAGCCCTCATCATAATCACTATCTAGATGAAGGGTTGGATCTTGATCATCATCTTGATGAACGGTTGGATCTGAACCATCCAGAGACAGAGTATAATAATGATCACTTGTGAAGTTTTCAAACTCATGTTGATCAATTTCATCTTGCACAAGCAGTGAGAAAACACTATCATCATCATCCTCCTCATCATCATCATCATCGTCGTCGTCATCATCATCATCATCATAACCATCATCATAATCCTCATCACCATCACCATCACCATCACCATCATCATCATTATGAAAATGACAATGACCAACCTCCTCCTCCTCCTTCTCCTCATCATCATAATCATGATTATCCATATGTTCGTACCATTCGTGTGCTGGTTTTGTGCCGTGGAAAATCTCGTGGGGCAACACGAAACGCATTGGTGGCTTAAGTGGTGCTCTAATTTCGTTGCTGGAAGCCATGCCCAAGAATATAGAAACAAAGGAAAGCAAAAAATTGAACACTAATTAAGAACGCTTAGAAGAACAAACTCAACAACAAGAGCAATAGTAGCTATAACAATTGGGGTTTCTATTCTAAAGAGACCTGTGTATATATAGGGGAGAGACTTCAGAATTTAAACCAAATGCGATTAAGATTAGGACTAGGACTAGGATTTCTTGGTTCACAAGTTTCCAAATCCGACTGACAAGTGACAATATTTTTATTTTTACAAGAATAATAGAAACGTGTATATAACAGAATAATTGAAACCTAATCCTACTAGGATTAGTAGTTGGACTGAGTTGATAAGTTTCCAAATCCAACTTGATGAGTGACAACTTCAATTTTTATTTTTATTTAGAAAAAATTTACATCCTCGTTAGGGTAGTAAAACAATCCTTGTACAATTAGGACAGTATTGCTTTCTATAAATACCTCCTTTGAAGATTAATACAACATACAGAAGTTCCTACATTTTCATATTTAGCATCTTGAACATAAACACTCAAGACAGAAAATTGTTGAAGAAAGAATGGGGAAGAGAAAGTCGTCGTCGAGGGCAAAGCTTGAGCTAAGAAGCCAAGGGAGAAGCTTGATACAGTATTCTGTTGCCCCTTCTGCAACCACGGGAGCAGCATTGAATGCGACATTGACATGAAGAACATGATTGGGGAGGCTTTCTGCAGCGTTTGCCAAGAGAGTTATAGCACAACCATCACAGCTTTGACTGAACCCATAGACGACTACAGTGAATGGATAGACGAATGTGAGCGGGTCAACACCATTGTTGCTGATGATCGTGCTTAGGAAGCAGATAGGGGTTTTTATTATGGTCTGTCTGTAAAACTCCATATCTTTTAACTTGTTGATGCCATTATAAATTTATAATTTTGAGACATCGCTGAAGGATGGGCCTAGAGCCTAGAAGATAACCATTGTTTTGATATAAAAACAAAATCTGAGAGAATTAATTACTAGTTTTGTGATTCGAATGGAATGGTTTGCTGAAACTGGATTAATTGCTAGAAGAAGGAGGAGGAGGAAGAGGACTAGGATATCTTGGTCCACAAGTTTCCAAATCCATCAAGTGACGACCTTCATTTTTTTAAAATAAATAAATAAATAAATAAGAAGAAAAAGAATACTGTATGTATCGGTCTGATTTGGGCTAAGTAAGATACAGTTGGATTTGGGCCTTTAACAAGTGAAAATACCAAGCTCTTGCATATATGTCCTTCTAAGTTTCACTGCTTAATTACACTGCAAGGTGACCCCATCAAGAACTAGTAGAAGAAAAGGGAAAGTTTAAAGTTGCTTTTGGTTTTTCACAAGTGCTTTTAGCTTTGAATTCTAAATTATGGAGGGCCCAAATTTGGCCAGAAATCTAGTGGGGTTTTCTTTTTTTGGAGAAATAATCTAGTGGAGTTTATCTGATACAAAATAATATTTAGTGTGAGAAAAACCTTAATCATCAGCTTTGCCATCATATTCTGGAGAAAGATTGCACTTAAATTATAAAAGCCGTACAATTGTGGGCAAAACTAACTAATCCGTCAAAAAGGATAAATAATGCTTGATATTCTAATGACCATGTTTGAACGCGTGCACTTAAAACACTAGCTAATTTGGGCTACTAATTTAATATTTTATGACATTTTTACAGTCTTTCTTCTTTGAAAAAGTTGTAGTCAAATAAGATCGAGCTGGTCACCAGTCCAATCTACAAGAAATTATATCTACCATTATAGTGCTTTTTTGAACAAGATTGATCCCTCCACCTCTCCTAAAGTCTAGGGCAATGATAAGTGTTGCTATCTACACCAGTGTTTCTAGAGGGCTTTCTTTTACAGGTATAGAATTAAATTACACACGAAGTGGTTGTTTGATAACCATTTCATTTTAAGTTTTTTGGAAAACTCAAAACATGTTTGGTAACAAATTTTGACTTCAGTTTTCACAAAAGTGAAATCTAGTTTTCAAAATCACCCTTTTTTTTTTGGCCTTTTTCTTTGAAAACTTTTCCTATTGAGAGGGGCTAAACTCACACACACTACACGGATGCTAGGACTCGAACCCAGGACCTTACCCGAAGAAGCAATTACTCCAAATTACTACACTAGTGGGTCCTTTGCAAATCACCCTCATTTTTTAAAACAATTTGTAAGTGTTTCTGAGCCCGTTTGATAACTATTTCATTTTTCACCTTTTAAAAACTGAAAAACTTGTTTGGTAACTAATTTCAATTTTCAAAAAAAGTGAAAATTGAAAGCTGAACAAAAATTGTTTGATAACTGTTTTCAGTTTTATGTTGAACTTGAAAATTGCATTTTTTGGGGGACAATTTGAAAATTTGAGATCATATAATGAAAGTGCATGTTACAAAGAGTTCGTAGTATTTTCGGTGAATTCTTTGGAATTATGATATTTTGTTGTTGTGAATTTTGGAGTTGGAGGTCCCGAGGATTGGACTAGGGCCATGGATGAACAAAAGCATCGAGCAGCCGGGTCCAAGTCTGGAGGTCCTAAATATTGAGTTTTGGTAACTGGAGTGCATTTCATATGTAATTAATTAATGAAAATGAAACGCAAAAAAAAAAAACAAAAACAAAAACAAAAACAAAAACAAAAACGAAAAACTGAAAACACTTTCAATTTGTTTGAAAAAGGGTGATTCTGAAAACTCTATTACCAAACATGTTTTCAATTTTCAGTTTTCAAAAAAAGTGAATGCATTTGTTATCAAACAAACCCTTTAAGTTTTTTTTTTTTTTTCCGCTTCTATTTCATTTATTCATTTTATATCACCACACATGAAATGCAATCCAATTACCAAAACTTGGTATTTGGTACCTCTCAACTTGAATCTAGCTGCGTTTGGCCATGAACTTTTTGTAACATGCACTTTTCAAGTTATGTTGTTGAATATATTATTTGTGGAGAAGCGTCTCCCATGTGATGTGCTTATCTATAAAAACACTTAAAATCACTTAAAATAATTATATTGAGATTTATTGGCCTATCCAAAATAACTCTTAAAACCACCATACATGTCAAGCACAACCTCAAAGGTGAATGACAATTTGATCTAGTATAGCACTCAAATATCTACTTTGGCAAAAGATGTTCTGAATTCAGATCTATAAATGACACTTGATGATTAAAGAAAACAAGAAAAACTGAACCCTAAAAAGATTTGTGGACCCTCTTGATCCGATATTCTACCATTAAGTTTTCCCTGCAAATTAAATATGGACCAGTCAAATGGTGAACCCTAATGGCCTCTTTGTTTATAATTATTAAAAAAGCAACTATCATTTGGTTTACTGAAGTGGGTTTGGAACAACAAGAAAAAATATAAAATAAAAACAAACCCCTAGCCCAATAGCCTATCAGCACTAAGTAATCAAAGTTAATTAAGAATAAGAGGAATGGATATCATATTATACTACTACGAATCTGCCAATTGTTAGGATGAGGACTCAGTATCTATTATGCTCGTACAAAAAGCAACACAATGTTAGGATCAGTTAATACGTACACTTATTACTCACTTTGCACCACATACTCATTTTCTCTTTCGCATGACCTTGCTCTCTCTTTTCTACATATTTATAGAACCAAGCCATGTATCTCCAGCGACTTACATGCTTAAATCTTTAACTATGCTCCAAACGTTAAAAAAATAAACATTTATCTACAGAGACGAAGCTAGAATTGTAAAGTTGAGGAGGCCGAAAGAGAAAATACAAGTATATAAAACACCTAAGTATTCAATAATTACATGTTTAGAGCTAAATATTTCTAATTGAGTCATGTCTAATTTGTTTCAGAGGGAATTTTAACTTAAATTATAAGTTGTTTGTTACAAATTCTATATGTTATGTATTAGGGACAAGGCCACTCCAGGCCTAGAAGTAACTCCGTATCTATACTCCAGGCATTAAACCTTTATATATTCCTTCCATATGTATAATAGTGAACCATTGGTTGAAACCCACACAACTATGCACTATAGAAGCATCAAATCAACATAATTTGGTTTGAAAGAAGCATGATTGTTGGTCAAATATAATTTGTGGGATTTGTCTGACGAGTGATGACACAAATTGTAAATATATTAAATATGATGGACATATTGTTTGGCTGTGCTTCCACACGACTGCAATCGAGTCGACAAGGAACAACTGATGTCCAACATCTATAATATATTTAAGAACACTAATTGTCACACATAACTTGCAATGCATGTGTGTTTTATGATTCTAAACTCTAAACCATTTTACATATATGTTCCCACCCCACCGAAGGAAGAGCAAGGCTAGAGCTACACAGGCAATTGTGGCTGCTCCATCAAGTTTCTTCCGAAGAAGCCACGACAAATGCAGTGAACTAAAAAGTGGGTTGCCCTTGAAGTCGATATGCAAAGCTTTTGGCACACTCGACAGATCCACTTTCTTGCAACAATCAAAGGCATGATGATCCACACGAGGATAACAAGCTGCTCATTAGGAAACTTTGGAAGAAAGATGGAGAACAACGAGACCGAGGAAAGAGATCCAGTGAGAAGAGCAAAATGGCCGGAGATTCGAGAGTAGACTGTAGAGCAATTACTGCGCGATTTCATGTTAGCTGCAAATGCAAAGCAATAGACTAACGTTGCCAGCAAAAATGTCCACATGACTTCCCGATGTGTGTCGAATGGGGACTTGGTTGCGCCTTGACATTTCACTTGAAGGATGCCGATTAGCAGTGGATTCAGAAATGCAAAGATGGTATGCCATGGCATTGAGGAAATGAATCCTTGCGTTAACCTACACAATATATGCATGGCTACTAAGTTAGACAACCAATAACTATATATAAAGCCCAA